CGCGAGGCCGAGCTCCTCCCCATCTTTCGTTGTTCTTCTTCTTCCCTTTCCCCGCCTTCCTCCTCCTCCTCCTCCCCGCTCTCCTCTTCCTCCTCCTCCCCAGTCTCCTCTTCCTCCTCCTCCTCCCCTCTCATCTTTATCATTTTTTATTTATTTGTTGTCAGAAGATGGGAAATCGTAAAAGTATGTTCGATTCTCAAGAAAATGGAAAATTGTAGAAGTATGTTCCATCTTTTTTTTCTTCTTAATTTTGAGAATTTTTGACCATCTTTTGATTTATGCTTGTCATCCTTACGCAGGGGCCATGCTAATCATCTTTTTATCATTCCAACTTTAAGGGATATCTCATCCCGCCTCTTGCTCCTCTTTCTCCTCCTGCTCCTCCACTTCCTCGACATCCTCCTCCACTTTTTTCGTGACTCCCTCTCCTCCTCGTCCCGACCATCTTTTCCTCTCCCAACGTCTCCTCTGCTGCTTGCTGCGATCTCCTCTTCCCTCCATCCTCCTCCTCCTCGTCCTCCACTTCCTCTGCGCTATCCGCTTCCTCACCTCTTCCTCCTCATCGTCCTCTTCCTCCCTCTCCCGCTCCTCCTGCCATTCCCACTCCTCTCTTCACCTCTGCATCCTCCTCATCGCCCCGACTACTCTCACTACTCCTTGCTCCTACATCCTCTTTCCTCCATCCTCTTCTCCTCTTCCCCCCTCCTCGCTTATGCCTGATCATCATCATCGTTATCTTGATCGTAAATTTCCATCGTCCACATTAGACTCCCTCTCGGCTCATTGTCCTTTTCAACCTCCTCCTCCTCCGTTCCCCCCCTGCCCCCTCCCGCCTTGGTGATTTTGCAACATCTCATCTATTGAATTTCATTCATACTTCGTTGAATGATTGGACTTGGTTTTTGGGAGAGACGGTAGAGGTGAAAAAGTGAAGGAGGAGGGGGAGAGAGAGGAGGAAGAGACACGAAAGGTCTAGGAGAGGAAAAGGAGGAGGAGGAGGAGGCGTGTACGATCAACGTCCGGTTGCACTCGGGAATCGATCCCTGATTGTCCATGAGATCCCGACATGAAGCTTGTTAGCCTAGCCTCCTTTTTTTTTTCCCCCTTCGGTGAAACCTTGACTTTTTTTTTTTGTCTCCCTTCCATGAAACCATATTTGTTTTTCCCGGATCTGGTGGTCCTCTCTCCAACTTTCCTCCAACTGTGATTTTAAAAATTTCCTTTCAATAGTCTCGCTATCATTTTTTTTTTTTCTTTTGCGGCCTTCATCTGCATATTTGCTTGCTGCCCAATTCCCTTCCTGCCTGCCTCGCCTCACGCCCCTTTTCTGTGTCGCAACTTTGCTGCGGCGGGTCCACTTGTTTAAAGATTAAAAAAAAAAAAAAAGTTGGAGGGAGACAACAAAGTTATGTTCACAGGGGTCCCATGTATAAGACTTAGGAGTAGTGATAGGTAGGTAGTCAATGTGAATTGAAAGAATTTGAAAGATGATGAAATATTTGAGAGAAGAATATAAGGGGAAAAAAAAAACAAATATATACAGTGGCTTAGCTCAGTTGGTAAGGCACACAAGTGGCACTCAGGAGGGTCAGGGTTCAATCCCCATTGGCCTCATGTACCTTCCTGGGCAAGCTTGGCGCCCGCCACCCGTCCTTGGTCCCCCCAAGTGGCATTGAGCAGAGACTGCTGATGTTCATAGGGGGAGGGGACCGGAGGGGAGGCACAGTGACTGGCCCATAAAAGAAGCTCGTTCCTGATGCTACCGGCTGAACCCTGGCCGGTATCGCTCACCTAGTGTAGCAGGTATCGCACCTGCTAGTGGGTGCAGCTCCTGCATGTTCCCTCGTTGGAGGCTTGAGCACGAATGTGGCTGCTACGGGGTTCCCCGTAATACTATAATGACAATAAGAAAGGCCTGAAAGGTCGTCCTGTCCAGATTTGATAGGTAAGTGAATTGGTTGGG